ACCATCTGTACGACCTTGACATCCACAGGAACATCAAGTCGTATCAGGAAGTTAACGGTGTACAGCACTGCGCCAGTAGCGGCCTCCACACAAGCAACTATGCTCGATGGATGAAGACTAACGGAATATATGCGACACAACATCGCCAAGAAATTCAAAAGTATGGAAAAGTACACAAAAATTTGCTGTCTTCTAGATTTTACAATAACTCTTCCAGATTTATAATCCCAGTCAACAGGTATGCATTTGAAGTACCGGCCGTAACTGAGACAGTGTTTCAAAAGATCTACATCGTCTTTGGTCATCGTGCTGAGATGTTTCTTGCTATTTATGTTTGATCTAAGGTTGAAACTTCTAGATTTTTTGCTGATTTTTTACTAATTACTTGATTGACCGCTTAATAACCTTTGAGCTTAGGCAGGAGTAATAAAAAAAATTCTAGGGAAAATATGAGAGTGGTCATAATTTGTGACTTGATATGGCAATTGATGGACTAGACTCATCGTTCTTTAGGGAAATGGGTGACATTTTAGTAAGTAGTTTGCATTTGCCAGTTCATGCATCAATTATTGCAGTGAAGTATTAGATAGCATTATCTATAATCCCTTTCAGCTATACAACTACTGGGCTCCATATCGTACAAAATCCACAATTCCGCTGAATTATTAAATTGCTAGGACCACTTTCCTGATTACGGACAGTCTTGACCGGTTTGCCGTCTTGAGGGTTTCATAAATTACATATGTATTCTTTAATAGCTTAATAATTACAGTTTCATCCGGGAGGTGGCCATATGTTTTGCAACTTATTTAAGTATTTCGTCATTATTACAATTCTCTTCGTAAATAATGTGATAGCCAGAAATTACTAAATAAAGTATATACCATGGTGTTGCATCATGTTTTCTCTTAGCAAACTTGGAAATTTAATATATCCGGTATTGTGTAATAAATAAGTTTAACTTTTATTGATTTTAATCAAACCATTTGATGATTATCGTTATTGTATTCACATTGAAAAGGCGGGTTCACATAAATAAATAATTAAATAAAAATTATCCAATTGTGTAATCAGGAGGGAAAGGTCATCAATGTGGTGACTTCGAATTATCTGCAGCCAGACTAAACTGGCTATTAACACTTTTTAAATTTATTCTTCTAAGATATGGCATGCGACCCATATTTCACATCGGAAAAGAATTGTCGTTGGTGTGGCGATTACACTCTAAGAAATTGGGTGATCGCAGCTATCACCACACGCGTGGAAATAGACAGCGTCTCCGTCATGGTGATCACTTGTACCACCAATTCTATCACCAGAGGTGGTGGTGGAGCTTACCACCAGTCGGAAATAGTCAGCGCATGCGAGTGTCATAGAGCATGGCCCATGCTTCTGGCGGTGAGTTCAGTCTCTCCGCCACGACACAAGTCTCCATAAACACAGCAGCTTTTAATTGAAAATGGCTAAATTACTCCGAGTTTCGAATAAAGTGAGAGTAAAAAAGTTAATATTGTGTCCAGGCAGCTATGATGAGTTTATTGATTCAGGTAATAGTCATTAGTTAAGTTTTCAATCTAACGAATTTTAAATTTTGATCTTTAATTTGTAGTGAGACAACAATTCAATTTATTCGTCGTCACTCAATTGCTGCTGGAGGATGAACGGGGAGCAGAAATTGACCAAGAAGTGTTGCCTTGTTAGAACAGACCTTTGTCCACAACATCACTTTTTAAATTCAAGGAGAAATTGACATCGCCACAGGAAGTTCAGCGGCATTCACCCCGCATGTTCATTGTGGTAATAATTTCTCTTGTATTCTAGTTAATACTAATGATTTTGATTATAATTTGTGATCAAATATACTTATTTTTTATTAATCTAATTATGTATTATATATTTTTGATAGTTCATCAGCTGCTGGTCATCTTTGGATTATTTTAACAGGCAAAATATTGATATGCAAAATTTAATAAAAAAATGTCAACAATTTATTAATTAAACCATCCCATAGGTTCTCCAAAATCTTATCGATCTGAGTCCACAGCTAACCCAGGTCGTGGCTGATTGCAATTCGAAAAAATTAGTAGAGAGCACAGCAGCTTCGGTGTTAATAAAGGAGTTTGTGGCCAAGCTGGTCAAATTGAAAGGGTGAGCACAATTTTAATTATTAACTAATTTATCTTTAATTATATTATAAATAATTAAATTATTTTAAACTTAGGGAGTCTCCATCATCTCATGATGAAACTATTCGCCACCAGACGGCATTGTAAGCTACAAAATTCGCAAAACAAAATTTAAATCAGGTTTCTATATAAATAATAATAACTATCTGCTTGTTGATTTTCTTTGTTTGTCCAAAGAATGGAGAACTGGGCATCAAAAGACTGATGGCGGAAACTTTTTCTCACAGAACAGCTGAGAAGTGCCAACAGCCAGTCCATTCTAAAATTGTAGCGTAAGTTTCCAGAGTGCGACTATTTGGTAAGTAAAAATAAATAATTCATTTTATTTTATTAACTTTATTATTATTATTTATTCAATTTTAATTCATTAAAATCTTTAATGTGGTATTTTTTGACAATTCTAGATTCAATACGAATTAATGTTTGAACATGCTGTCTTGAAGTTTGTAAATATTTGACCATCATTTGCTCACAAATTTATCGACCGCATTAAAGGACTTACTGCTACTCCTTCCTTGAAGAAATTTTTATCAAAAGTTGCAGGTAATTAATTATAATAAATCTGTTCGTACGGGAAATATTAAAATTTTATTAATAAATTTTGATTTTAGGGAAGTGGGATACGCAAATTGCTGCATTGTTAGGATTGTTGCAGTTAATTCCTCCTGCACCCCAAGGTAAAGGTCGAGGTACACGTGCCAAAATCGAGGACGCCAGAGATTTGTTGGTATCATTTTATAAAGTAAGTATTTATTTTTTTTAGAAGACCAGGTTATCCAAGTCTTTTTTCTTTGCTTATTAATAATTCATTTATTAATTTACAGATTGGAGCACCACATCAGTCGATTCTGGATACGTGGAATGGCGAGAAAATTCAACCGAATTTGGTGTGCATTGGAGACACGAAGCTAAACATCTTCTCGTTCTTCATTCTTTGTGATCGAACTATTCTTCCTATAAATTCCAAGACTTGTGCCGAAGCAATCGACACCCTCTTCAAATGTCACTACGTACTTGGAACTGAATACGATAAGAACCTTGTTGGCGTGAGGAAATTTATTCAAGTGTACATTTACAAGGTAGATGTTGACAATTCCATCCTACCTAGAAAAGCGAAGGAAGTATTTGGCCAGCTAAGTAGTATTTTAAGTGAGAACTAGAAAATGTTTTTGTGTCCTTCTTCTACTAAGTTGACGGTGGATTCAGGGAAATAGTGAAACATGTGAAATATGTACATAATTATGGAATTGTTAATTTTGTAGCTACGTGTACTTAAGAAATTAGAAGTAGAGTATTTTGAAGATAAATTATTTGTCTAATGTTTTAAATTAGTTGATACAAAAAAATTGATTATACACGAGTGTTTTGAAATACAGCATAATATAATATTGGAGGGATTATATATAGTTACACGTTATCAATTGTAAATATAAGTATTTTTTAAATTAAAATATGAATGAAAATAAAAATGTATGAAAAACCCTTTATGTATGAACGACGATTTTTTTCATACCAATCACCAAATTGTGACAAGAGATATCACCAAACGGTTACAGCTCATCTCCAGACGGTGATCAAAATATCACCAAAGCGGTGGTCGCACCGTCACCATACGGAGGTGTGTAGTCACCGTAATGGTGATCCACACATCGATCACCGGTCGGTGATCGCCGATCACCATTTCGGTAGAGTCATATATAGTCACCGCCTGGTGATAGAACGGTGATAGAATTTTTTACAGTGTAGGTGGACAAAAGTGTGATGTGACTGAACGTCTCTACTCCTTCTCAAGATTAAGTTTTGGCTCGTTTATGCTAATTGAGATTTTCCTCAGGATTCGTGAAATTCTCATTTCAACTTGGAATTTTCATTCTTAGATTGTGGAAGTGAATATAGCATATTTTTTCGCAAGGGTAGACGATAGTCTTATTGACTGGTCGAACATGGTGCCAGGTTCACCAACAAATTGCTTTGTTTTTGATATTTTTAAACATAGGAGAAAATATTTTTATTTCGTATTTTAAAATTGTAGATTTAGCAATCAATACAAAAAATTTTAAGAAATTACCATTCAACGTATGGTAGAAATTTGCTCTATCACTTTTGGCAACGTCGCAAATGAAGTTGGACGTGCAAAACGAAACATTGCTTGGGATTATTACTTTCATACTGCGTAATTTTGGAATTATGTTTATAGTTTCTCATGAAAATAAATTCATGGGCATCTTTACCAAAGGGTGGTGGTGGTGTGGGGTTTATAGAGCATGTGTCTCTCTTTGTTACCTTACAACGCTCGAATCTTTATAAATCGATTCAAATTGAAGTTGATTCTGTACGGCACCGGATTATTCTGTTCAGGCTGTACGGATTAAGTTTGTTGTGTAACTATATGCCTACCACATTCAGCCTGAAATGTATAAATATTCCAACAAAACGTGGTGCGTATAAGTCAACTGCGTCAATGGGACGTGACAAATTACCATTTTTCATAAACACAAAGCCCATGAAATTGTTCCGTTGTTGACGGTTGACGTCAAAAGTGCCTGATACAACTTGTAGAAGGCATGCTATACATATTCATGGCTAATTTGTAACTTTCCAGGATTACACAACTATGTATTTATAAATCTTTAAATATTCGCCTTAATCATTCGACACGGGTTTTTTTTTAATAGTTTAATGTAATCATTAGCAGAGCTCTCGGCAGCGGTGGGGACGAATGTAACACTAACATTGTCATATCATAGGGGGAGATTCCTGCCCAGTTAGGAGAGAGGTGGTGGACATGATTCTCTTGACTTTAAATACGAGTGTAAAACTCATCTTGGACTCAATTGATCTTCATTCTTCCAATTATTACTTTTAAGCATTAACTAATTTTTCATTATTTTCTGAAACGAGAAATAAATTTGCAAGAAATGGGTTCTTACACTGTGGCCACCCTTGTCGCAGTGGGATTGGTATTAACGCAAGTTAATGGTCAAGGTAGAAATAATTTTTTTAAACCTTTATGGCATGCAAGATTGGAAAATGATGACAGAATACTAAAATATTTAAGGAACCGGGCAATCATGCACAATTTTGGGTGGCCTACCAAGTGGAACCTGTGTCCCTTCGTCAGAAATCTGTGTCGCTGTGCCACTAGCAACGTGTAATTCAGGCCTGAAATGTTGTGCATTGGGTAATGTGATTCACATAAATATTTAACATGAAAATTACTAAACACTCTAATTTTTCTTATATAAGAGCAAAGCCTACCAGCAAATGTGGATTGGAGGAATTCCAATATAGTGACCCCAGCCAAAAATCAAGAAGGTTGTGGCACCAGCTATGCTTTTGCGGCCGTTGGAGCCATTGAGAGCTATATTGCGAAGAAAACTGGAAGATTGTTGGACCTGTCGGAGCAGCAAGTAGTGGATTGTAGTTATCGTATTCGTACGGACTTATCTTTTAAACGTTTCTATTCAATTCATATGCAGTTTAATTCCGCCTAGTTTTCTATCAAAAACTACATAGGGAACCGAACCATTTCTCCTATTGCAGAATGCCGTGTTTAATTTTAGTTCGTGCTTTTTTTTAATTTTGCAGAGGGTAATATGAATGCTGGATGTGGTGGAGGAAACGTAGTAACCGTATTTGATTATGTGAGAAAAAACGGACTTGTAGAGGAATCCTCCTATCCATATGTTAGTGGTCGGGTAAGTCTACTTAAAATATGGCTGCTTTAGGGTAACACTTTGTGGATTTTATACCAGAGTTCATCAAATTAATTGACCATTCCTTTCGCTTCATATTATAGTCTGGGACACATTACAGTTGTAGGAGCAATAGTGGACCATATCGGATTTCTGGGTACACGAGGATCACAAATGGGTCGGAATATGAATTGCAGAAGGCGGTAGCCACTAATGGTCCGGTAATATTTAAATAAATTTATGTGCATTCGTCGACTGGAACAATTGACACGGAAACTTTTAAATGAATTTCATGTGGGATTGTCAACCTTTATCTGGTAATGGAACAGGTTGTAGTTTCAATTAGCGGAGAAAATAGGGACTTCCAACTTTTTAGTGGGAGCGGAATATATGATAATCCTGCATGCCCAAAGCAGGTTGACGTGGATGTCCTAGTTATTGGGTATGTTAACTAATAATATTTATGTACTCTCCTTTAAAATTTGCGAATTGCCTGATTTGCGTTCGCGCTGGATATAGTTATGCTATAAAATTACTCCGATATGGAGAATCCGGAAGTTTATGCAAATTATGTCTCCCGCAAATTTAAACAGTGTGTAAATACATATAGAGGAAATACTTAGGCACTAAGTATTTATATTATTTCATTGAATTATTTAGTTACGGGACCCAAAATGGAAAGGATTATTGGTTGATTAAAAATAGCCTGGGGTCAACCTGGGGAGAGAATGGCTTCGGGAAAATTCTGAGAGGAGTAAATCAGTGCGGAATCGCATCGGACTACAGCTGGTTTCCAATCATCTAGTTTATCCACTTCGGAGGAATATGTAGTACAAATGTTAGTGATAGTTAATAAGAATTCAAAAATTGAAGATGATTAAACAATCGGGAGTACAAAATGGGAAGCACGAAATTTTTATTATGAATTTAAGCAAGAGGACCCAAATATTTCATTATGACAGGTATGGCTTAATGATGCTCAAAGTTTTTTTTCGGAGTACTCAATTGAGTATGGTACTCAATTCTGCGAAAAGACTGACACAGTCGGCCCAACTTCAGTTGGACTAGGCGGTTGGAAACTACATCCCGATTCATGCTTACCAACATTTATTTAGATTTGGTCCCCCTATCTCAAGGTAGATACAAGTGAAGTTGGGCCGACTGTACTTTTATTCATATCCATTAATGCTGAAAATTTTTATCTTACTTACTTCACTAAAAAATGAAATATAAGTGATCTGATACGGGATGAGCATTGCGTGATTTGGCTTTATCCATAGGTTCAAATGGTCTAGGAACTCGCGTTCCATTACCACATCCATACTCATATTATGACTGTAATAAGCAGTAAAACGAAGAGGAACCCGCTTTATGTATAGGAACGCTTTGTTCGTCCCTTCGTTTCTCTGGACGATGCATAATTTTGAAAGAGCTGAATAATTTTCAAACTTTCTTTGCTAACTTTATTTGCTTTAGCATCGCAGAAAGTGTGTATTTGAATGGTTTCTGATATTGAAGTAAATGTAAATCTTACACTCTTGCACAAAAACATGTTAATATTAAATGACGACCAAGTAAGTAATTTTTCGCACATATTGCAATACAGTACATAAATAATTACATAAGCCTTACCAATAAATATGATATTGATTTGGATTCTGAAAATCAATGAAAGAATATTTCTACTAATTAATTCCTAACAAACAATTCAACTAAGATTAATTTCAAGCAACAAGTAGACCTGAAATTGTCTGTCTCATACAAAATTCTTGCACCACCAAGGGCGTCAATCTTTCCACAAAATTATTTCCATATTCAAGCCTCAACGGTGCCAGAGATTCATGGACAGCCCTCTCATATTTTTTCTTAAAATCCCATTTACATGAAACAATCCAATCCCTACTTAGATTATTAATCTTTGCCGCACCAGAGAACAAAATCATGGTGAAGAAAAGTACCATGAAGTAAACCCATAAAAATAAAGACGCCTTATATTCGTCATTTTCGTTCGACCGGAACAATTTTATGGCCATATAACATAGCACAATTTGTGCAGCCGGAATACCTAACGCGCTGGCAAAAAATATTCTGGATCTTGTACATGCATTTAGACATTTTTCGAAAATACCCAATTTTTGATACTCCCCTATCTTGGCAAGTTTCTGGCCATGTCGTTTTACAAAATCTTTGCCATCAATCCATAGGGTGGCTACGCCCTTGAGCAGTATCTCAATGCAGCAGTGAATCGCAGTTATTCCAATATTAAGGGTCATCACGAATTCAGCCGTTGCATAGAGCATGCGCACTATCCAGGTGGAACTTTTTGCATCAAGAAAAATCCCATCGCGGCAGAGGATTGAACTCAAAAGGAGGGGTTGACATGGCGCAAACAATGCCAAGATTCCTAACAATGTAGCTACCACAAGTCCCGTTATTCCAGACGCATAGATTAAGAATCTAATATAGAGATACACTTTTCTAATTGGGGGCGAATCTGAAAGGAAATTCAAATCTTCACTTTATCGAATATTACTGTACATTAGCATCGCGAATTAACTCACCTGTTCCGAAATTATTGCAATTCATCAAGAAATTCATTATTTGCACGGCACCATGGTCGACTGAGATTTCAAATCGTAGAAAGAACGAAACCGTGTATACCAGTGCCCAGAATGCAGCTTCGGAACGGTTGATAAGGTTGGATGGGTGTAATGATATCGAATACAGACGACATGACGTTACCAGCAGATGAACCATTAGCATCGCAATGACATGCCTTTGTTGCCGTGGTGATTTTACAACGACCCTTCCATTGACGGAATCCCACTTAACGGGGAGACACTTAAGGTAATTTCCGTAGCATAGGTTCTGCTTTAGAATGGCGATATCCTCGTTTGCCATCATAATTGTTGATATAGTTAAGATTCCTTTACTATTGGATAGCTCTTGAGGAGATGCTGCCAGACTGCTCGAAATTTCTTTGCGATCGTTTAAATTATTAGATGTGTAAGGCATTAAATATTTATGCGTTTAAGTTTTAATAATACAGTAAATTATTGTCTGCAATTTCCACTCCGAGTAGAAAATCCTCCGAGTCTCTGAGAAATACAGACTTTATACCTTATTCTTGTTTATGGGTAATTAACTGAATAACTATGGTACGGGCATTTTTACTATAGACAATTCTTCCTAAAAGGTTATCTGGCCGACCTCGCAATGCCTAAGAATATTGAAAATTCAAATTTGAAATACTTTTTCATTTTACAGCCGATTTCAAAAATTTCGACTGTTTTGAAAACATATGACCCTTGTGCAAAATACGTATTCTCAGATTTTGAAATTTCGACCACACCCACTTATAATCAAGGTCACAAGGTCAGAAAAACATCCATTTTTCTGAACCAATTAAAATGATGAAATTTTAATATTTGTCCGCGGATAAGCCTATAACTCTTATCACACGAACTTAGGTCATTATTATATGCCAACAGGTCACGAAACCTTCACTCAGGTCAATGTGGGTGTGGTCAGTGGGAGTGGCAAATATTTATTTATAAAAATTTTAAGATCCTACGTTATTTATTTTTTAATTAAACTCGACCTATACGTCAAATTGCGATGAGTGTCGTCTCGCGACGTTGATGAATGGCCACACCCCCAGTGGGTGTGGTCATCGACGCTTTCGTTACGTTTCATCCAAACCTTGTCATGTGACATATCATTTTTCTCAGCTCCACACAGCGAACTCGACAGTGTATCTGAAGTTCGAAAATTGACAAACCACACCCCCAGTGGGTGTGGTCCATGGCACTTTCGCCAAGATTCAAGCATGGTATGCGACATATCATTTTACTCAGCTGGTGACCAAGAGAGTGTATTCGAATTTTGAAAATTGATAAACCACGCACCCAGTAGGTGTGGTCCCCGGCCCTATAGCCGTGGTTACAAAGAGTGATTTAGATGGCTGAAATCACTTTAATTGTAGGGGTAACCGGAATAAAAAGCAACCGGGAATATTCAAATTTTCACATGTTTTTCCCACTTTGTTAACACCCAGTTTGCACTAAAAAATTTTGACCTGTGCACAACGATGCCCCACAACCGCCCTCCGAATGTGGGGTACTCGTAAAAGCGTTTTCCAAAGGAAGATTGTCCAAGAGAGCGATAGTCAAGAAACTGGCGACAAATTGATTCACTGTCAGTCAAACCTACGTTCATAACGTATTAAATAACGTTGGAATTAAGAGAATTGCAACATCCACTGGGGCTCCACACCCACCGATATGGAAACCACGATCCGCTAGAACTAAGAGGTTGATCCAAAAGGTGGCAAATTTCGCCAAGAAGGAAAATCCAATTGCGCAAAACGATACGGTAAAATGTTGGGGTGATCCAGTCAATGATTCGTAGAATCATTCATTTGGATTTAAAACGATTGACGCGGAGAAAACACCACGTCCTCAAGCCGTCCCATATCGAGAACCGGAAAACCACTTCACGAAAACTGTATGAAAAATACCTGTCACACAGAAAATTTGAAAATATGGTCATTCTGGACGAGGATTGGTTCTATCTGACCAATTGCAATCGAAAAAGACGAATTTGCTGCAGCCAAAAAGGAGAAACTGTGCCATCAATCTGGGTCGTAGAAAAGCATGAGAGTTACGATTCAAAGTTCATGGTTGTTGGAGGAATGACCGGAGAAGGAGTCCTTCCCCTTCACCGAGTTCTAGCAAATGTCAAAATTAATTCGACCTATTACATCGACAAAGTTTTTAAGCCCAGGCTGGAAGTTCAGGTCACTAAACTGTACGGGGAGGAGATATCAAAATGGTGGTACATCACGATTTAGCGTCTTCTCACACCTCTCGCAAAACGGTCGCGTATGCGACCGTTTTAAAACAAAGACTAGGGATAACCATCATCACACCCTCAGAATCGCCTGTGAATTCACCAGACATCAGTCCCATGGATTTTCTTGGATTCGGGTAGTCGAAACAGCGACTTTTCCAGCGGAAGGCGCGCAATTGGACGGACTTTAGAAAAAAGTTCAGGAGGAGTGGAACAAAGTCCCCTCGAAAATGGTGTCAAACGTTTTGGCTGGATGGAAAAAGCGACTGAGGCTTGTTCGACAAACTAAAGGGCTTCACATTGAACCAATTACAAAAATTCACCAGCGAAAAATAAAGCTCTAGGACAATTTTCAAAAGCGATTTCAGCCATCTAAATCACTCTCTGTAGTGTGGACACGACGCAAGTTTGGACGGTGGATAATTTTATATGAAGATATATTTTTCTAAAAATATCCCATTTGGTGGGGTTTGTATTGACACCTGTTTTTTAGCCCGAATCAGGGCTTATGTAACCGTCATGTTTGTGCTTCCGTCTGTCCGTCTGTCTACCGACAGCTCTCTTCTTTAAACTTATCCAGTCTAGTTGAAATTTTCACCATATTTTTAGGGAGTGAAAGTGTGGGTTAAGTTCGAAGATGAGCCGAATCGGCTATGGGGGGACCACCACTGATTTTCAAAAATTATTGTAGAAGCCTGAAATTTAGTATGGCTATGGTTACAATTTCGGACAATACACTAGGCCTGACTCAGGCAATCTAGACACAGCACACTGGTGGTTTTTTTTATTTTTAGAAATTAATAATTATAATTTCCAATTACATTTTTCAAAATTTTCTTTTCATAAAATAAAGATAATTAGTTAGTTCATCAAATGGTTTTTTTCTAAATAACCAATTTTTACGTCTAACCATCTTTATTTTTGAAAACCATGTTCTGTCTTTCAAAGTCATTTGGTATTAAGTTATTAGTATCACGCCTCCTCCTCAATATATGCTCAGGGTTACGATTTTCCCGTCCAAAACACATTTTTCCCAGGACAGGTGGGAAAAGAG